GGTCTACAGGGTGTTCAGAGTATCACTACTAGATCCATCTCGTAGTGATCTGCCTGTTTACAGCCTCTCAAGAGTTGGAATTGCAGGCGTGAGCACAGGGCTGGCACAGCAGGCCCGGGGATCGAATCCCAGACCCCTAAGCCTGCTTGCAGGTGCTTTAATCCAATGAGTTATTTGGTTGGACATAAGTTGACAAGGAATTTTTGTTTTCTTCTTAGGACTGGTTCAGGCTGCCTTAATGCCGGTCTGGTAAGGCATGTGGAGTTGGGGATCGAACTGCAGTATCTTGTGCCTTACTGTGTCTGCATGAACAGGTGCCTAAACAACTGAGCTAACCAGCAGGCTCCCTAGAATTTCTAATGAACAAAATAGCCCTGCAAAAATATTAAGCCTCCTGGCATGAATAGAAATACAATTCAATTAATTTATGAATCTATCATGGTACAAAATGAAGACAAAAAAATGTTAATTTTTAAATTTTAATTTTTAAATGTTAACAAAAATGTTAAAATGATAATGAGCTCCACTTTTATTGCATACACACGCAGAATTATGAAATACAACTTATTAAAACTTGCAAATATGTACACTTGAGACCTGCATGAGTTACAGATAGACACAATGCGTTTATCTTTTAGTGGAGCCCCTTTGATTGTATGTTTTCTGCAAAATTTTACACAGAAATAATTGACACATTTTCATACTAGTTATGCAAATTTTCACTATGCAAGAAATATTCAAAATTTTTGATAATGATATAATTGAGAACATTTCATACAGCATTTTGATCCAATCTGCTTTTGGGTGGGTGGGTGGGGGGATACCAAGGATCAAACTCAGGACCTTGCACTTGCCATGTCGGCACATATGCCACTGAGCTAGCTCCCTGGCCCTCCAATCTGCTTTATTGTTTGTGTATGTCCTGTATGTAGATGACTTCTCACAGTACTGTGTTGATTTGGAAAATGAATGAATCAAAATGATAGTATGTGCTACCACAATATATACATGGTGAGAAATGACTAGTTGTTCCAGACAATGTACACTGTATAGCTTTCTTAAGAAAGCAAGGCATATATATATGCCTGTGGGCAGGGCTGGCAGACATGTGGTGCCAGGCATTCAACCGCAAGGTCCCTGCACTTGCCTAAGCTTGCCCAAGCAGGCACTTTAGATTACTGAACTATCTCGCTGGCTCTCACATTCCTTAACTTACTCTATGTTTGAATTTGTTCACACCTTCTGAGGTTATGGGAAACACAAAATGCTTTCTCATACTTTCTACATAGGATTTCTCTCCAGTTTGATTTCCTTAGTGTATTTAAGGTGATGGTATATTCAGATTTTCTCCACCATAGTTACATCCATATATATAATGATGGATGTCTGTACTGAAGATGTTCTTTATTCCTTAAAAGAGCTTGTCTGTACTGTGAATCCCTTCTTATGTGTCACATTACATATTCATAGTTAATATACCACTATGACTCTAATATCTTTCTTAAGTGGGATAACTGAAGGTTTTTCCATAATGCTTACATACATACATACACTGCTTATTAGTGATTTCTGACATGTATTAGTATCTGTCTACACTGAATGTATTCCCACCTTGTTTCCATAAATAGGATAGATTCCTTTCAAGAGAGATTTTTTTCTTTGAAAATCACTGATTGGTGAAAGTTTCACTCATTTCTTATACATATAGGATTTCCACAAAGTGTGTATTGGTTTGTTTTTGAAAAATCACTGAATGGAGACAGGTGTCACTCGTTGCTTACATAGGATTTCTACAAAATGTGTCTTCTTTTTATGTTACAAGTGAACTGTGACAAGGAAATGCTTTCCTACATTGCTTACATTCATAGGGTTTCTCTCCAGAAAAACATGTGTCATCCTTGCACAGAGGCCATGATAATCTTCTCTGTATCATTCCAATTTTTAGTATATGTGCTGCCAAAGTGAGCACATCCTTTATTTGTTTTATCTCTTTTTTCAATTCTTTTCCCTTTTTCTCTCATATTTCTTTTTTTTCCAATTTTGCATGCATACATCTGGTAATATGAACAACCAACTTGAAGACAACCCTGAAGTACAACAATTACTGCAAAACTCATATTATTTTGTTAAGGAAAATTCTGTATATTTGAATTTTTTGTTTTATTACTATTTTGTACTTTCTTTAAAAAATAAAAAATAAGCCCTTATGATCTGATCATCTCCCAAATGGCCTGCTTATGAGAGAAGCTGGTGGGGGGCATCTAGATACAAATCATAACTAAAGGTAAAAAAGAGAAATGAATTTAAAGAGGCTTACCTAAATAGTCAGCTAATAGGACCTTATCAGTGTTCCATTAAATACCGAGTTTTGGGTTAAATATGGAAACAGAGGAGAGATTTACATTAGATCCATTTGCCTCAGATCCTTTCTATCACGGGGACAAAACACCTCACCTACACAATTTAGAGAAAAAAGGAGTTTATTTTGCACTGTAGTTTCTGACGTTTCAGTCCTTGGCTCAAAGGGAGGACTCTTAGGGCAGAAATGTAGGGAAGAGGGAGCTGATTTCTTGTGGTGGCCCTTAACAAAGAACTAAGGAAGAATCAGTGAGGAGGGAGACGGAGATAAGACCACGTCATTCTGAGTCACACTTGTGGTGCTCCACTTCCTCCCAGCAGGCCACACACCCAACAGCACATTTATTTATGAACTTACAAATAGGTAAACCATTGACCTGATCAATTCCCTCATGATTTAAAAACTCCCAAATCTCCAACTGTGAATACAGATATCTTTTGGGGAGGGGGGTGGTGAAGTTGGAGGGGGGTGGTGAAGTTGGTGAATATTTTATTCTAATCCATAACAATAGTTGAGCAAGAACAGAATAATTCAGAGAACATGGTCATTCAGAAATGAAATTATCTAAAGGATAAATGACAGTCTTGATATATAGTATTATGTTAACTTAGGACCTCTCAAATAATTTTGTAGTACATAACAATTCTGTGAAATGTGAAAGTCTATAATCATGTTTGATTACAGATTATAATTTAAAAACAAGATTATGATTGCAATCATTTTAAGATTTTGGTTATGTTTGACTTTATTAAGTGGTCACATTCTTGCTTGATTTTTATAAAATCTTTCAGTAACTGGAATAATTTTTGTACAAAAATTGAAAATGACCACATGGAATTACAAATTAAGAACATTTTGTAGGTTGCTTGCTTCTTACTATTCTTACTGAATTAGGCATTACAAAATTTTGGGGATTCTTACTGCAAACAATTGGATTTACTATATTTGTAATTTACTTAATTGGTTAGTCTAGTAAGTTATCCCAATTTAATCTCATTGAACCAAGTGGAATATGAAAGAAACATTCCCTTCAAATGCTGTTAGACTGTGTAACTCTTTGGAGAGATTAAGCTGTTATGGGAGTTGTCAAGCACAATGCAAAGATGCCTAGACTGATCCAGGAGCTCAACTCTGATGTGATATGTTCCCATCCAGGGATTTTGCATAAACATAACTGAGCTTTTAATTTATCCAGAATTCCACAGTCTTGAGCACATTAAAAATGAGCCATTACAACTATTGCCTCCTGGGTGTTGCTCATAGGAGAGCAGTATCCTTCATGAGAGAGAAGTATGAACTTTTGTGATGCATAGATACTGAAAGAATTCCAGTGGTTGAGAGAGAAACAAGTGCACGTTCAAAGTAAAATCCAAACACAGCTTAGTTTTCCACACTTAGCTGTGCCACTCTTGGAATGAGCCTTAAGTCATCTGTCCTGACTGGGAGTGTGCATTCTAGATGATGCATTGGACGATGGCAGGTAGAAGAAGCGCCCATTCCCTCCCTCCCACTACCTACACCCTCATTCATCATGTAACAGTTTGGGAAGCTGTAGACTGATATAACATTTATTATAGTCAGCAAAATAGAAATGAGAAGAAATTTTTTGTTCTTTGGGCCAAAAATCTGTCTTCAGGAAAGCATCCTGTCTTTTTCTTTCTTCTTTGGTTAAATTTAAAGCCATATGTCACACAAAATATTTTATAACTTGCTGACTCTATGACTGTGTTGCAAAACTTGCATGCATCTAAAACTTTGAAAACATATTGTTGGGTAAATAACTTGCCTGGAATGTGGCCATGCTGAGGTTTCAACCACAGAATCACTGATAATAGAAAAGCATATGGGTGGATGTGTCCATGTTGAAGGAACATTGGAAAAGGAAGAGGAATTGCTTTTCTCCACAGATCTATCCCCAAATTGTAGTCTCCTGAGCCAATAGTTATAGGGAATAGATTTGCCCCCAAGGATCAAAGGTTATGTATCCTCAATCTATAACCAGTTCCTAAAACCTCTCTTAATTTTGTGTATGGCACAGAATACAGACTCAGATGGGTGTGATGGGGTGACAGGTAGAGAAATTAGAGTGGGAAATATCAGCTTTTACTCCTGGCCTTGCCCCTGTTATTGGCCAAATACTGCTGATTTATGCAGTTCTTCATAAAAATATATACTTTTCAAATCAGTTGATGGTTTGAATGTTTAATCCTCAGATTAAAAGATTGGCTAGTTCTATGTTTAAATATTAATAGAAAGATCATAAATATATTCTTAACTAAGTTTTAATAAAATCAATGCAAGGATTTGCAAAACTGAATTTGAAATAGAATATCAGTAGGCACTAATTTTAAAAAAGAAATATTGAGGCTAAGCATATAGCTCAGTGGCACAGTGCCTGCCTGCAAATGTGAGGTCCTTAGTTCAATTCCTGGCTAAAAAAACAAAAAATGAAACAAAAAATATTTTAAAAAATGAAAAAATAAATAAAGAAAGAATACAGAGAGAGGACAACAAAGTGAGAGTCCTAATGAGAAGATACAAGGCAAATAAATTAAGACAGACTTAAGGCGATTAAGGAAGCAAAAATCCTAGCATGAAAAGGGAGACAAAATTGGCCAAGAAACAACAAAACCAGAGCAATTCAACTATTTACATTATAGGCTAAAAACATTTATTACCATAATAAGAAAATTAAATAATATCAATCTAAGAGCTTACATGGATACTAAAAGTAGTTCAACATAGAGACAGACTACCTAAAAATGCTGCAGCCTTAGAAATACACAAATTTGATATTTTTCAACTGCTGTACAAGAAGACAGTTCAATCCTAAAATAACCTGCTTTGCAGCACATACAAGAACATGAGTGTAGTTGATTAATTTGAATTGAGAAACCTCTGAGCTCCTGCAAATAAGTGGACAGATGGTGTGTTAAAGCTGCAACGCAGGCAGTGTGGAGCTGGTCATGTTTCTCTGTAATGAGGGAATCTGTTTTAGAATGTACTGCAAATAACATGTTCCCTTCCCCCAATGTAATTTCACTCCATTCTGCAGAAGGAGCAGAATTTAAATCTCCATACATCTGCAGCCAAAATAATGCCAGCTAAGTATATACAAATAAAAAGCTATAGGTTGAACTCAGAGTGGAGCCATTTCTCATGAATAAATGTGGAAGTAAACAAGTGATTAATGTAGATTACTTATAGGAAAGTACCCCTAGTTGCATTGTAGTCAAATTTACATGACTGGGGATAAACACAAAAAAAAAATTAAAAAAGAGAAAAGCTCAAGAGCACTGAGAGAATTAGGTGTCCATCTTTTCAGACTCTAGGAAAAAAATCTAAAACAAAACAAATCTTAACTCTATCAGAAGAAAGACCATCTAAGGGGTACAGAAAATTTCTTGCTGAAGAAGAAATAGTCAATCACAGGAAACCTTCACTCTATATCTGGAATGTTTACCAGTTAGCCATACTGGCTGTTGAAATATTTACTATTTGGTAAGTAGCTCTTGTCCTGAACTACCCCTTGTTATCCATATCTCACACCAGTCTGATATTTTTCTAATAATAGTTACCCTAGCTAAGTACTGTTCAGGTTGGTGTTGTGTGGATTGTGAGATTCACAATAATGTCTCTTCCTAGGTACTCTTTGTTGGTGTACCCCATAGAGGTACCTCTATTCCTCACCTTCTTTCCCATTTAGCATAGGTTGCCTCTATTTGACACTGCCAGGGGCCACCATATAACTCATCCAGATTGAAATGGAGTACCAGTTTCTGTGAAGCAACTCCTGACACTGCTACCCCTAGGCACCTCCTAGGATGAGTTCTACAAGTTCACTGTGAAAGAAGTCTCTTGTCATAAGCATCAGGAGTTTGCTTAACAAAAAGATATAAATACCTTTTGTTAGGTATTTTCAATATAATTCTGCAGTAACTGCAATTTAAATGAATGCTTAGGGAGATCATAGATAACTCCTTGAATATCAAGATTTAGAATGTGAACTTTTGGTCAGGTTGTCTATCTTTTAGGTAAGTTCGTAAATTAAATTGTGCCTGTCTTCAACTTGGTAGTTTACTTCTTTCATTCTTACTTTTTCACTCATAGTATAGGAATAATGTTATTATAATGTTATTCCCATCAGGAATAATGTTATTATTTAAGTCAAAATTTGTGGGAGGAGTGAGCATAATAATTACATTAAGTATGGTAAGAGCAGGCAAGTTATATTTCTCATTGCTGAGACAAAATACCTGACACCCAGTGTTAAAGGGGAAAAGGGTGTTTTCAGTTTTTTAAAATTAATTTTATTGAGAAACAAATAGCAATGAGACAGTTTCAAAAAGGGTTTGTAGGACAGTTTCAATAATTAATACACTGCATATTGTTGTCTTTGTAGTGTTTGTTCATAATACAAGATGCAGACATGATATCTTGTCCAAATAATATTAGTACAAATCTTTCTTCTCATTGATTTAATAAAAAGTAGTTGTATATCTATCCTAACTATTTTGTATATGCAGATACAAAATGGCCCTTCATTTGTATCAAAGGGGAAAAGGTTTATTTGGCTCATAGTTTGTAGATGCTTTAGTCCATCCTTGGCT